CCGACTTCTGGCCTATCAGAGCCAAGCGGCAAACCCCGGGACAGTGCGGTGAAGCCCAATGCTGCAAACTGTAGGCGATGGATGCAGATGGGAGCAATTCCCGTAGACCCTTTGTTAAAATGTCCAACTTAAAAAATGAACATGTTTCTAGCCTGGATCTACAAAAACATATTCTGTATATAGTTAGATTCCCCCTTCATGACAACGGGACTGCTGCTCCTAGCTCCTCTCTGCTAGCTCCGTTAGCTCCGTGATGCTACAGCGGCTCAGCTCATGAGGAGAACACTACTTGAACTCTGCCGTGTTTGTTGTGTTGGTTCCTGGTGGACTATTCGTCATGCAAATATAGGATTTATCTGCGGTTGAAACAGACCGTCCATGAATGCAGTTTCTTCGGTAAGTCAACCCTGCGTACTTTATGTTATGTTACTGGTGTTTTTATTAAGCTAACGTTAATGAATGTTTAGAGTTGGGGTAGCATTTGAGCAATCGTAGCTCCATCTGTGCTAACGATGCTATGCGTAGCATCCAAGAGTGTAAAACATTAAGTGGGATGCTACTATATACCAAAAGGCTTCTGTGCGAGGTTGCTAAAATAAGGTCATCCTTGTACGTTAGATAGTTAGTTTGCTATTTAGGTTACTGTATGCATTGTTAAGGTTCATTTAAATTCGCTATGCTCTACTATAGCATAAAATAGACTAGCTAACGTCAACGTATTGTTGAAGAGAGGCTTAGTGTATATTAAATCGCCTCACAATGAAATATGTGTATCTTTAAAATATGAACGTCACATTTCAAGATAATAACGCTCCCTTAGATATTGTAATATGGTTTGTTGAACTGGAGTTATTTATTGCAGCTAACCGCCTATCCGACGAACGACCCAAACATTGTTGTTTTTAATATTATTACCAATGCCTCTTTTAATTGTATTATCATCACACTTGAGAAACAGCCTTATCGTGGCTGTACAACGGAACATGTAACTTAATGCCTGCATTTAAGGACGATGAATAGCGTAGTCAATGCTTTAGTGACAAGGAAATTATTTGTTTAAATATGATATATGACGTTATCTGTGACTTCAGTGGAAATTAAGCTTATCCATTGCATTGCATTTGTTAAATAGGTTTGTGTCTAACCCTTACGTGTGTGATACATATGAATATGGCATGAAAACAAATTAATTTGACTGACTCATGAAAACCTCATCCAAAGTAACAGTAAAATAAAAAGGACCTACACAATAATACTCAATCAAACTGATACAGTATAAGGACTGTGATATCCAGCCATTTCTTAAGTATAACAATAAGATTATGACCTGTTTTTAAAAGAAGATAAACATTTGTTTGCATGTAAAGAAGTCTGTAACCCACGCATGTAACTTTACATCTGTTTGTTCAAAGTGTCCTCAAGGTGATCCAGACAGGCTGGACCAGAGGAGGAGAGACAGATCTGGACTTCTAGCAGCAGAGAACTTCAGCACGGATTCCAAGGTACACCTTTTTCATGCTTTACAAAGAATGCATAAAGTAATGACTCTAATACACTGATATACATGCCATTAAACATGGTTGAATACTAGATCACCTACACATCAGTGATGTTGAGTGGACTTTCTTAGCAAAAGGTTACATTTACATTTTACCAAGCAACATCACATAGTGAGAGCTGCGACCCTTTGTCTTTCAGTGAGACAACAGAGCAAGCTTCTACAGTTGCACTAAGTTTTGATAACAGTTAAATATTATTTTAATAATACATTTATTTCAATGTTGATGAATTTAGAACGGTTTATTCATAACCTGATTATCTTTGTAGTACACATTCAAATAAAAAAAAAATCATTATATTTATAGCCCTGAAGAAACAAACACCACCTCTTTCTTAAATAACACACTTGCTCTGCAATAATATGTTTTTTGATATTTCTGTTAGGAAAGGACATGCCTGAGAGACAGGACTGCTTCACCATGTTCTCTTTCTCTGAGGGTCCAGAAGAACATCCAAGAGGGAAAGGAGAAGCTGATGTGATGAGATTTAAGAGCAGTACAGGACATTAAGAGACAGAGAATAGTTTTGTAGTCCAACAGGAACTTCATTTGTGTGTTGTTTTGTGTTTTACGTTGCACCTCAGAAACAGTGTGATTATTGTCAGGCCTATAAAGTTTGGCAAAAAAAAAAGTCAGCTGATCAAATGCATTTGCCTCACTTTATGAGCTTCATATCGCTTGTGCCTTGTACCGCGGAGTTTGGAACGTCATAAATAAATGGTACCAATCTTCAGTCAGATGTGAATGTGTAATCTAACAGTTTCAGTAAGAATAATGGACAAAAGGAGTGCAAATACAATTTATTGAAATGTGAACTAAAAGTTATCAAGCATGAACCATCACCATTTATTTTTCAAAATAAAAACGAAATAATATACATAAGTTACACTAAATGTTAATCTGTTAATTGACAGGCTAGGCCTGTGCAGGTGGTAACAGCTATGCCCAGCATGGGCTAAGTTCTGTAGGTGCAGGTCCTCCTCCATCAGGCCTGGTCCTTCTCCCTCAGGCCTGGTCCTCCTCCATCAGGTCTGCAGGGTCTTTCCCTGCGAGGAGGACTCCTCGCAGGGAAAGACCCTCAGCCCTCTCCGGCCAAACCAACAGACAGGACGTTCATAAAGCTGAGGTTTCCCCCAAAGTCTCTAATCATCCATCCTGTGAATATGAGAGGGGAACAAAATTGTGTAATAGTCTTTGAGTTTCATGCAAAGCTATATAAAAGTCCCATGTATTATTATTATTATTATTAGATGCTTTGGACAATAATAAATATAAAGTTAACTGTTGAGTTGATCAGTTTTTTAGATTGAAAGGGTTTAATAATACAAACAAAAGGAGAGGCACCGTAAAATAAAGATTGGTTTTTCAATAAATTGTGTTGATTTTGTCTTTTGAATTCTTTGTCTAAAGTCAAGTAGCTAGAACTGTTACTTATAGTTTGAATGATACAGTGTGGTTATAATGTTTGGAGGAGGCATCACAGGTAAGAGCACCATTTGTTGTGTTCCATCCACAACAGATTGATGTGTGTGTATTTATTTATTTACTATTTCTTGAATCATTACTGTCAGTCCAAAACAAGAGATGTTGTTTTAGTAACATTAAAAAAAAACATTATCTCTTTTTCACTACACTATCTTGAATACTTTAGTTTTTACGTCACTACATTTATCTAACAGCTTTAACATTGTAAAGGTGTCACTTCGGACTCTGGGTAATTATGACAGCATGTCCTACTCAGAGCTCTAGGGCTCTGGTCCTACTATTTTGAGACTTTGAACAAACCAGACCTTCATCTATTAACCTCTTAATGTAGAAAATAGTCAGCACATTAAACCATTATGAAAGTAATAATTAGTTAGCTCATTGTTCAAAATGAGCTCAAACTACAACAGTTAAGTCAACTCGTGCATCGGTAATAACAATAAATCAAATGATATAATATAATAGTATAACTTGTGTCTACTTTAAATACTTTAACAACACTTTCCTAATTATACTAGCATACTTTTACTAAAGTAACATGTTTAAATGCAGGGCTTTTGTAAGAGAGTATTTCGTATAGTGTAGCATGGTCTACTTGACCTATCTAACCGAAGTGATCGTTACGTTACTTTGCAAACCGTCACCCCCCCCCCCCCACACACACACAAAAGGACACGGTAACGTTGTGATTCACTTCAATTAATGATAACTACGGAGCTTGCTAACAACAAGGCTACTTCACTCATTTAGCTAGCTAATGTAAGATACAAATGCTGTCGAGCCCTCACTGCTTGTAAAATAAAGAGCACAAACTGACAACTTACCCGAGCGGCGAGCCCCGCTGTTCTCCGTCATTTTTCTCCCGGGTTGTTGTGATCACATGACTGACAAAGCCGTGCTCTGATAGGCCAAGTCAGTTTGATTGCATTAGGGCTCGATTGCTTATCCTGTATGAGTAGCCCGGATGATGCTGCACCGCAATTTTTGACATCGAATTTTATACACCGAATTTTTTGACATCGAATTTTTTGACGTCGAATTTTTGGGATCTGAATTTGAACATTCGAATTTTTTTCACTTGAATTTTTACATTTTTATTTCACATAGGTAAATTCGGAGCAAAAACATTCAGATACATGATTTTCAAAGTAATTATTTTCAATGCTATACATTCGGTGTCTAATAAAATTCAAATACTTCTGTCTCTTGTTTGCTTCCATACATGAGGAGTGCCACAGAAAAGTCACCGCTTTTGTGGTGAAAAGGCTGCATCCCTTCTCAGAAGTAGAAGCACCTACATTTCGGTACGCAAAGACAATTATACTAATTTTCTAGCTGCCCAGACCTCACCCACAATAACAATATCATTTTTTGAAGAGAGCGGAAATAATGATATTGCAAGTTAGAAACGTAAAATGCATTTTGACAGACACTTGGGGGAAATATGCTGCATTTTGAATGTCCGATAGTCCACCATTAACACCTTAGTCCGTCTCGTCTCATCAACGACAAATCTCAACCTGTCGTTCAATGGACAGCTTCCCCCCCCCCCCCATCTATGTATATACTCGCATTTTAGACTCTGTTACTAACTGTATATTTGTAGACTTGGTATGTCTTAAATGTCCGGTTATGATGTATTAGAACGAAATCTAAAATGAAAATTGTAAACAAGCAATCTGTATGTAAAAAAACCACCTGTATGTAAATTGTAAATAAGCCATCTGTATGTCAAATATGTCTTATATGTCTTAAATGACATGATGAATTGGAAATGGGGGACCCTGATGTAAACAAGACGAAAGTCTTTCTCTGGTCTGCATCCCCTTAACAATTGTATGTTTTGAGCTGTACTGTACTGTACCCAATATACAAGCTGTTAATAAACTTTTCAATCAATCAATCAATCAATCAAACGAAAACTAAATATACATTTTGTCATAGATACAGTCGGCAAGCGAGGGAACGCCCACAAAACGTCACATCCGGTTCGCGCTGAGGGGGAAAACAAACCGGCTTCCACAATGCCTAGGAGCTGCAGTGTGCCCTTTTGTACAACTAACAAGCTTAAAAATCCAAATCTAAAATTTTATATTTTGCCCAACGGGAGCACAGAGCCCAGGAGAAGAACCCGGTGGCTTCAAGCGATCCGTCGGGAGGATGAGTTAGGTCACCTGTGGGATCCAAAATCCAAACATGTGTACGTCTGTAGTCAGCACTTCATTACAGGTATGACAACGTTATTCACACAATAACAGTGTTAAATTGTTTCGTAGTTAACATGAATGTTCAATTACTAGTTTTAAGAGAAGTTAACTAACTACTACGTTATGCAGGCTACCTTGCTTGAGTATACAAAAACACAGCTATGCTAACAACCAGTATTGTGCTAGTTACTGAAAACCAGTAACTAGTTACCATTACTAGTTACTTCATGTCAAAAGTAACTCAGTTACTTTACTAGTTACTTACACCCAAAAGTAATGCGTTACTGTGAAAAGTAACGTTTTTGTTACTTGAAAAAAGGGCTCCCATTAATGCCCTTATAGCCTTCATTTCAGTACTGTTATTGCATTGGAGAATAATACAATCTGTTGATCAACTTGACATGCATTATATGCAATCTGGATTGCATCGATATTAGCTGGCTTTCCATTTTTGTATATTCTTTCTCCAGGTAGTTGGAAAAAGTTTTCCGTCCCATATGCCGTGTGCCGCCCGGACATGCTATCATGCTAACTAGCTCCCTGAAAGCGGGTGACTCCACCGTAGCAATAGCCTGCATGTGTTCTACAACATACTGTGCAATGGCTGTATCGACTTTTCCATGGCTAGCAGTCCCTTGGTTAAAATCCAGCCGCTGTTGCTTAGGTGGAGGTGGAGTGGCGTCGGCTGAGTCTCTGTGGTCTTAGCTACTAGCTTCGTCCCAGCATGTTGTTTTTGCAGATGTTTTAAGATATTTGAATTACTGGTTTGGGCAGTAGATAGGCTCTTTGACCCGCCAAGACACAACTTACATTTAACTAAAACGTTCTTTTCTTTGTGCTCGACAAAAGTGAAATAGTGAGAATATCTCCAGGTGGAGAAACTAGACTTGAGCTCCGCCGCCGCCATGATAGTCTTGTTAGTAAACAACACAAACACGCCCACAGCCCGTCTCCGCATGTGACACAGGAAGTATCTAAGTACATTTACTCAAGTACTGTACTTAAGTACAGTTCTCATCTCTGTTCGCCTGGCTGTTGACTATATACAAAAACTAACGCAGTAACGGAGTAACGCACCATGTAGTAACGGTAACTGAGTTACTGAATTTAAAAAGTAATGCGTTAGAGTACTAGTTACTGCCGAAAATAACGGCGTTACAGTAACGCGTTACTTGTAACGCGTTAGTCCCAACACTGCTAACAACACTGGTGGTAGCTTCCGAGCTTTCTGCAGTTAAAATGTATTTCACCCCCTTCTATCCCCTTCTCATTTCGTTTGTGAACTGTCTTGCCCTAGGCTTAAAAAACGAGGACATAGCCCACCCAGACTACACACCCTCGCTGTTCCCACATAAAAAGACAAAGTCTCCCAGGTCAGTACTTCAGAGGCTGGAGAGAAGGAGGAAGCGTGAGGGTGTTCAGTCTGCCCAACCAGAATCCCCAACATCAGAGGGCCCAGCACCAGAATCCCCAACATCAGAAGCTCCCATACCTCTTCAGGAGTTAGAGAGAAAACAACTTTATGAAGAATTGTATAATTTAAGAAGAGAAAGAGATGAGGCCATGAAGGAGCGAGCTGAAGCCATCAGATAATTGGAGACGTTGAAAATGTCGGTAAACACTGAGAGAAAATGACACTAAATGTAAAGTCATGACAGGCCTGTCATGGACAGTATTTGACACTCTTCATCAGTACCTGGTACAGTTTGTTAAGTCACAGAAAACATCCAAGATGTCAACACAAGACCAGCTCTTTATTACTCTGGTGAAACTGCGGCAGAACCCCTCAACCGATATGATGTGTGGAATATTTGACCTGGCACATAGCACTTTCCTGGATGTATTCTCCCGATGGTTGGATTTGATGTACGCCAACATTTCTTTTTTGATTAAATGGCCTGATGGAGAGTGTATCAGAAGCACAGTACCAGCAGAGGTTCTCTTCCAGTACCCTAGAGTGACTGCAATTATCGACTGCTTTGAGATCAGAATTGAACACTCAAAGAAGCTGAAAACAAGGTGAGATATTTTTCGGGTTTTTGTAATACTTACCTGGCTGTCTGTGTATATGTACACAATTTATAGATAAGTATTACTAACGACTGTCTCTTCTCACAGAGCTATCACCTACTCAAAATACAAAAACTGGACAACAGTGAAGTATTTCATTGCATGTCACCCATCTGGCTCAATCACATATCTCTCCAAAGGCTGGGGAGGGAGGGCTTCAGATGTGCATATTGTAAGGAACTCAGACTTCTTATCTCAGAAGTTCCACCATGCAGGAGATCAGGTAACAATTGAACTGTTTTTTTGTTTCTAATTTAAGTCTTATTTGTGAATTTATTATTTACCCATAGTTACTATTTTTGAGTTGCTGTTGAAGTAAAGTAGTGTTTTTAAGTATTTGTTATGTTTATTTCAGATTTTAGCCGACAGGGGCTTCACTTTGAAGGATGACTTTGCTGTTCTGGGTGCACAGCTCATCACACCGTCTTTCACGAGGGGCCGAAAACAACTGTCAGCCGAAGATGTTGCAAATTCTCGTGTGACTTCGAACATCAGAATTCACATTGGTAAGTATAGAGTCAGCAGTCAGATTCATACAGTATGTACATTTGAATGTTTTTGGTATTCAGAGTGTGCTGCATCATCAAATCACTGTTGCTACTTGCCGCTGACGTGGTTCACATTTCCCTAACTAAATTAATTACTGTAACAGTACAGATCCGGCTTAACAAGTGCTGAGACGTTATTCAATTAATCACATCAACGAGTACATGTGTAATCCCTACTTTGTAGGGTGTCTTCAGATAACATTTTATCTTAAAAACAAGTTATTCTATATTTAAATACATTGAACTGTTGTTCACATTTAGTGCAATATCAAGAGAACAGGATAACAGGAAGTTAACAGGGATCTTTCTTCACTTTAGCATGAAAAATAAACACTAATTATAGGACACAATGCACTGACGATATGATATAACGGTCAACTGTGCTACTCCTGTGAAACTCAAACATAACAATGTAGATAAACAGCATGTTAACAACAAATATGTGATCTGTGGTCTGCAGAGAGAGTCATTGGTGCCCTGAAGAGCCGGTACCACATTCTGGATGGCCCACTTCCTCTGCGCCTGGTGAAGAGACTGCAGGGTGAGAGACAGAAGAGAGAAGAGGCCATGATTGATAGGATTGTGCATGTCTGTGCAGCACTAATGAACCTGTCTGGCAGTGTCATGTACAACCGTTACAGAATCTGAGAGTAAGAACAAAATCAATGTGCAGTCATTTAATAATGAGCATCAGAGAACAATATGTTATGCAACTTTTTTATACAACAAAGAAGTCATTATTGTTCCAATTGTGCCATTTAACAGGTTTCAGTTGAGACATAATGGATCTTTCTAATCAAAACCACCTGTTGTTTGTCTTTCCACAGGTCCCTGAACTGATCTCAGTGCTGCTCTGCTGCTGCACACCCTGTCACCCTGCCTCTGTTGCCTGACACTCTGCTTCTGTTGCCTGACGCTCTGCCTCTGATGCCTGACGCTCTGCCTCTGTCGCCTGTCACCCTGCCTCTGTTGCCTGTCTGCCTCTGTTGCCTGTCTGCCTCTGTTGCCTGACACTCTGCCTCTGTTGCCTGATGTTCTGCTGCCACTTGTGTTGCCTGATGGGTCACTCCCTGTGCTGCTTTCGACTGGACTGTGTTCTGCCTACTTAGCAGAAACATATACAGTGCTTATCATAAATGAGTACACCCCCTTTGAAAATAACACAAGAACAATTTGATCAACATCACAATATCAACAATTATTATCTGATTAGTATCAAAGTCACAAGTATAGACAATATTGTACAGCCCATTATTCATTCTATTTGTAGCCTATGTATGTTTTCATGTTGTAAATAAATGTATAGGCTTTGTGATATTTGATTTTGTACATGTAGTCTATGTTGATACTGAATGAAATAGCTATAATATGCTTCAAAATGAATTGGTATAAATAAATATGTCACTCTGTCACAGTGACTTATTTGTTGCCATTTTTACACTGATAGGAAATTCAACCACCTACCTGTGCATCTTTCAGCTCCCGAAGTTTGTGTAGTATGTGTTGTGACCAAAATGTTTGCATCACATTAATGGCACCACTGATGAAGTCCTCATCTCTTTGTACTCTGAATATCAGGCAGGTCTGAGGAGTCCAAGTGATGAAGTCTGCATACATCCATTTGGTAACAAACATCTGCATTTGGACCTGTCAAATGCAATCAAATGCAATGCAATCATCATAACACTAATATGTACATTATAGACAGTATGCCATCTGTGGATAATTATCTTGGATAATTGCACAAAATGCTCCAGACTTATTAGAGGTGTGCAGGTATATGCAGGTGAAATATTGAAATACCTGAGTGAAATATGCATGACTTCTCTTTAAGCTTGTCAGACTTTCCAGATGTCCTCTTTTGTCCTCAAGCCACTGTTGATACCCAGTAGAGGTGTCTTGCCCCCACCTGTAAGGACACTTAGCCTCTATAACACCCTCACCACAGCAGTCACAGGAAACATAGCCATCACATGAAACCCCCAGGTATGGCATAGTTTGGCAGATGCGGAAGCCAGCCTTTGCGGCTTCTCTGTCACCCTCCAGGATGGCTTTACATCACATCGGAACAGGTAGGTATCCGATGAAGGTAGTTTATGATGGAGCACAACTCCAACAAAGCCACTTGTAAAAAAGTTGTGTGCCTCCAGGGACCGATAGTTCTTTAGGCGTGTGTGTGTAAATCCCTGCGTGATAACGTACCGAGTCGTCTGCAAACATTGCAAACAGACTAAGTTCTACAACACCCAGTTGTCTTTGTGTATTTTGTGAATGAAGCGCCATCTCATGGTTAAATCCTGTAATTGAACAAATGGGGAAATTGGGCAACGCCCTCTAGCAATTTGGCAACACCCCCAGCCACTGGCATCCGCTGGGCTTTTGACTGGGACACACCCATGTGAGTCCGATCTGGAGTGCTACATCTGTACAGTCCTCCCTAGAATCCTTGAATCAAGACAAGACTCTCCGAATTAGAAAATATAGAAGTTATATCCAAACCTGGGAAACAGCCTGACAGGAACACAACTTGGTGATGCAGAGGAAAAAGGAAATAATTATATAAGAGACAAAATGTCATATATTCAGAATCTGACCTTTTCCCGTATTAATAAGCAGGAACAAAAATAGAACATGCTGCAGATCGGATGAAACCTGGTTCTGTGTATCGTAAGTGGGAAGTGAAGTTTCAAGACTTCCAGGTGCAAAGAAATGTTCGTACTGCTTGGGGATACAATTAAAAAGGTGTAACATACAACCCAGTTTGGTTTCAACTTATTTCCAGTATCAGCTTCTCTTAAAAACATATTTTGATTAACTACTTTTATGATACAACAGAAAAAGGTTTCAAAATTAACTGCCTGTCCCATATGTTAACACCCCTGACCAAAGGATTGAAATTAACGTTGAGTTATAAAATGGCCATGGTTCATGCAAGGGTGGCCAATTATATATTGACCCCACCCCCAATTGATACCTTAGGAAGGAACTTCTCAGTTGTGTAGTCAATTGATGGCTTAGTTTGAAGATGGGTGTGTTCAGAGCAAAGATTCCAGGCATAGGCAGTGACCTGATTTGGTGTCTTTGCCTCAAATGTTAGACTGCAAGCTATTCTTAAATTAGCCTCTTGTTTGGCTGCAAATCCAGCGAGTCCACACTTCCTGGATTATATCGCTAAAGCCAGAATGGCCTTGATGCCATTGGGCCCAAAAATACATTTCTCGTTGACTAACATTTGGAGACGTTTTTGTCACGATCTGTCTGTGTTTTGTTTTGTCTTGTCTTTTTCTGTCTTTGGTTTCCTGTTTTATTTTGATAAGTGTTCACCCCCTGTCTTGCCTGTGGCTTTCTGTCTGTGTTCCCTTCTGTCTGATTACCCGATTGTGTTCACCTTGTTCCCCTTGTGTTTTCTCCTCCCTCCTCACCTGTCTCTTGTTTCGTTGATTAGTCTTGTGTGTATTTAAGTTCTGTTTTTTCTGTCTGTCATTGTTGGTTTGCCTCTCTCCATTGTTGACAACAAGGACTTCAGGCACTTCCTCCATGTCTTATGGCACGTTTCCACTGCAGCGCGGAGCTCGCTTTAAGCGTGCCGAGCCATGCGGGGCCCGTTTTTGGTTGTGTTTCCACTTGGCCTAGTACCGGCTAGCGGGTCCTAATTCACAGTTTTTCTGGCCCCATAAAATCGTGGTTCTAGGGCCAGGAACAACCAGGCTGAGTCGGGCTGAGTATGCTAAACTAGAGAGAGAATCGCTGACAAGGGGGCTACAACTACAACAAGATGAACATATTTGACCATGATTTAAATGTAATACACGTTTCAAAATGATGCCAAAGTAACAACATACTGATACCGGTTAGTAAAAACCATGAATTAATGCTTTGACAAGTCTGCAGACAGACGGCAGGCGAAAAACCTTTTAAAATGCGTGTTTTCTAAATGGAGATTGGCTAAGCTAACGTTGTATATGCTCCGACCGTCCACACTCACAACAACGGCCTATACAGACATAAATAAACCAGCGACTGTATTCGCCATGACACAGACAGTCTGTGGTTTGTACTTGTTTAACTTTTGTCTAGTTTCTGAACAGATATGAGGAGCTGTGAGCTCTAACAGCCAACGGCTGTGTTGTTTTCCTGGGGCTCTCATTGAAGATTACTTCACGGCTCTGCCTACACTGCGTTACTATAGATACTACCCCAGTTCCTAAACTGTAATGGAAATGCGCCATAAAGTGAGCCAGTCCTAACGAGGCCTAGCCATAAAGAGCGAGGCCGTGTAGTGGAAATGCACCATTAGACCCTCAATACAGGCCAATAGCAAGATCAACCATCTCCTCTGTGACCATTACAGTGTCTTATTAAGGACAAGATCAACTTTATTATAACTGACAATGCATCCAACATGCGAAAAGCATTCCAGGCCAGCTTTCCACCAGAGGAGGCTACAGTGCTGTGTGAGGAAGAGACTAATGATCCAGGCACATTAGAGGAGGAGGAGGAAGGGGAAATATGGCAAGACCTGACGACAGAGGATCAACAGGCAGTTACTGCTGCTCTGGATCAGAACTGCAAGATGGAGAGACTGTCATGCTTCACGCATACACTGCAGTTGGTGATAAAAGATGGTCTGAAAGAAGCCAGTAGGCTGTCAGGTACACTAGCCAAGCTATCCCGCACAGCCAGCCTCCTCCATAGTAGCACCTAATTTAAAGACCGCTTTGAGTCCTGCTTTGGGGATGCCACAATTCCATCAGCAAATTCCACACGATGGAATTCAACTTTACCTCCTAGGGCCTGGCGTACACATCACATTTGTGGTCATATGACCACAGTCGTTAATTCTGCTGAACTGGGGCTTCATGGCCACGTATGTGGGCACTTACACTGCCATCTGGTGGTGTCAGAAGAGTACAACACACTACGGTACAAATTCAAAATGGCGGCAAACACAAGGGATAATTCAAATGGCAGCTCCAAATACAAACCTCGACAAGGTAAGAAGTCCTATCATATTTCAAGGCTTTTTCTGATTTAGATATTTATCAAAGCATTGCACGTTTGTCATGACATGCAATTTGGAATGCCGTTAAACATGATGTACGTATGTGTACATAGGGACTTAGGTTGGTCGAAAATGCTAATATGTTAGTAAAAATGTGTACAAGTAAAATAGCTTATAGCTAACTCTGGTGCAGCTAAAAAGCTGTACATTGTCCCGATGAAATAAATAACAATTAAATAACTAAATACATACAGTGGGGCAAAAAAGTATTTAGTCAGCCACCAATTGTGCAAGTTCTCCCACTTAAAAAGATGAGAGGCCTGTAATTTTCATCCTAGGTACACTTCAACTATGAGAGACAGAATGGGGGGAAATAATCCAGGAAATCACATTGTAGGATCTTTAATGAATTAATTGGTAAATTCCTCGGTAAAATAAGTATTTGGTCACCTACAAACAAACAACATTTCTGGCTCTCACAGACCTGTAACTTCTTTAAGAGCCTCCTCTGTCCTCCACTCATTAACTGTATTAATGGCACTTGTTTGAACTCGTTATCAGTATAACAGACACCTGTCCACAACCTCAAACAGTCACACTCCAAACTCCACTATGGCCAAGACCAAAGAGCTGTCAAAGGACACCAGAAACAAAATTGTAGACTTGCACCAGGCTGGGAAGTCTGAATCTGCAATAGGTAAGCAGCTTGGTGTGAAGAAATGAACTGTGGGAGCAATTATTAGAAAATGGAAGACATACAAGACCACTGATAATCTCCCTCGATCTGGGGCTCCACGCAAGATCTCACCCCGTGGGGTCAAAATGATCACAAGAACGGTGAGCAAAAATCCCAGAACCACACGGGGGGACCTAGTCAATGACTTGCAGAGAGCTGGGACCAAAGTAACAAAGGCTACCATCAGAAACACACTACGCCGCCAGAGACTCAAATCCTGCAGTGTCCCCCTGCTTAAGCCAGTACATGTCCAGGCCCGTCTGAAGTTTGCTAGAGAGCATTTAGATGATCCAGAAGAGGATTGGGAGAATGTCATATGGTCAGATGAAACCAAAATAGAACTTTTTGGTAAAAACTCAACTAGACATGTTTGGAGGAGAAAGAATGCTGAGTTGCATCCAAAGAACACCATACCTACTGTGAAACATGGGGGTGGAAACATCATGCTTTGGGGCTGTTTTTCTGCAAAGGGACCAGGACGACTGATCCGTGTAAAGGAAAGAATGAATGGGGCCATGTATCGTGAGATTTTGAGTGACAACCTCCTTCCATCATCAAGGGCATTGAAGATGAAA